AGAAGTCCAACAATAGAACACCACTCGAGTTCAGATCAGGGGGGCCATTCCTCCCAACCACTCCCCTCCAAGTCTCACTGTCAATGCCCACATGAGCGTTGAAGTCCCCCAGCAGAACAAGGGAGTCCCAAGGAGGGGCACTCTCCAGTACCCCCTTTAAGGACTCCAAGAAGGGTGGGTAATCTGAACTGTTTGGCCCATAAGCACAAACAACAGTCGGAACCCCCCATACGCGGAGGGAGGCATGTGTCGAGATGAGACCGACTATTTCTAGCCGGAACCTTTCAGCCTCACACACTAGCTCTGGCTCCTTCCCCACCAGGGAGGTGACATTCCACGTCCCAAGAGCCAGCTTCTGCAGCCGAGGATCAGACCGCCAGGGTCCCCGCCCTCTGCTACCGCCCATCACCCGACCCTTTGGCACCTCCCACAGGTGGTGAGCCCATGGGAAGGGAGACCCACGTCTCCTCTTCAGGCTGAGCCCAGCCGGGCTCCATGGGTAAAAGCCCGGCCACCAGGTGCTTGCCATCGTGCCCCACATCCAGGCCTGGCTCCAGAGTGGGGCCCCGGTGACCTGCATCCAGGCGAGGGAAAACCAAGTCCAAAGTTATTGTGCATCATAAGGGGTCTTCAGGCTTCGCTTTGTCTGGTCCCTCACCTAGAACCTGTCTGCCTTGGGTGACCTTACCAGGGGTATAAAGCCCCAGACAGATTAGCTCCTAGGATCATTGGGACACTCAATCTCCTCCACACAATAAGGTGGCAGCCCAAGGAGAGGGGCTCACTATCATTCTCAGGTAAAGAGGAAACTCCTTTTTCCCTGTCAGCAGGTATCACAGTGCCTTCTTTTAAGGGGTAGATAAATATTAAGTTACTTTGTCTCCATTCTAAGTACCAACAACAAACATCCCCTCCAGTGGACTGATTGAGAGCAAATATTTAGTTTAGCCTCTAATTAAATTGTTTGCTTTGTGTTTGCAGAGATTGAAGCCAAGGAGGCCTGTGATTGGCTGCGAGCCGCTGGCTTCCCTCAGTATGTTCAGTTATTTAAAGGTAAATCTGAACCTGTGCTTTAACGTGAGGGCAATATTCAGTTTTCCACTCAGGTGACCTTTTGTTGCTTGTATGTTAGACTGCAGGTTCCCCATTGATACTGAGACTGCAAAAGAAGATCACAGCTTCCTGGATAAAGATTCTCTCGATTCACTATGCAGGTAAAAAAAAAAAAATCATCCATTTATTTTATAAGAATTCCTGTTTCTATTGGTCTAACAGTTTAAGAGTGTATTTACACCAGGCATTTTTATTCTGATTTGATCAAACTCCAGTCTGTCGTTGGCGACAATGGACTGAATACTTTGTGCAGCTCAGCCATAAGCCATTATTCTTCTGTTGCTTGCAGGCGGCTGATGACCTTAAATAAGTGCATTGAAATGAAGCTGGAACTTTGGAGATCCAAACACAGGGCGAGTGTTGGAAGCAAAACTGAAACTTAGAGGAAGAAAGCAGCTAAAATTTGTTTTGGATGCTAGAAGCAAATAATGAACCATCTGTCTTTCTATAGGGAGAAGACTGGGAAGAGGAGGACCATTGCGCCATCAGCCCAAACTGGACCTACAACAAGAGAACCCAACAGTGGCGGCGCATGAACTCCTCTGAGGAGACTCCCTGTGACCATCAGGACGTCTGCTCTGTCCACAGCTCCAGCAGCACAGACAGCGAGCATCACGATGCTCACAGGAAAGTGGTCTCAACGAGCCGGAGCTCCTCCCGCTGCTCCTCTGCCAACAGAATGCCATCGCTGGACACGTCCTACAGCGGACCTCCATCACCCAACGGAGGCTCGTCCACTGTAAGTCTGGAAGCAGAGGTGTGCTTCAGAGAAAAACCACCGAGGAAGAAGTGCACCACTCTGCTGAGGAAGATGGAGAAGCTGAGGTTGAGGGGGGCAGCAGGCGGCCACCTTAGGACTCGCCGTGACGTCAGTGGGCCAGTTCTGGTCCGACACAGAGAGAGGATGTACAGGCAGCTTCACATGTCAAAGTGAGAAACTGATTTCTGAAGAGAACCTGAACTGGAGTCAGAACTGTTGCTAAAAGTCTTGTCCTTCCTCTCTGTCTACAGTCTGCAGGTCCAGCCTAGCAGCCACTCATCTTCATCGCCCTCATCTTCTCACACCATGAGCAGCGGGAGCAGCAGCACCAGCCAATCAGAAAACAGCAGCACCGTTAGCACGCCCAGCCCCGTCACCAGGGTCAGAGCCAATTGCAGACGCTCCAACAGCGGAGTTGGGATGCAAAGTGACCAGAACCAGACGGATTCCGAGGTCAGATCCATTATGGTTTTATTTTTTTATTAAAATGTCTAGGATCACCTACAGCCAACAGGATGTTTTCTGCTATTTTTTAATAATTATTTTAATAATTATTTATTTATTTGCATTGCCTTCAAGAGTCACACTTCTGGAAACTTTGTTGACATCCATCTTGATATCCGTACTGTTAGAGTACTCAACTTTTGAGTACTCTAACTACCTCTGTGCAATTGTAGGATAAATATCAGTGGTATTTACTGTAGTATTTACTGCTAAATACTACAGTAAATACTATAGCAAAATTAACTGAGCTAAAAAAAAGGTTTTATCTGCAAGCTAAAACTGACATCAATCAATCAAATTTTATTTGTATAGCACATTTCAGCTACAAGGCATTTCAAAGTGCTTTACATCATAACAAACAAAAACACAAAGTCATGCAACATAGAATGAACAATCAAAACATTACATTAAGTCAAATGCCATCACTAAATCCGTAATTGATTACGTTTCAAATACAACTCTTTAGTCAAGATTTAAAGGCACTCAGTGTTTCAGCTGTTTTACAGTTTTCTGGAAGTTTGTTCCAAATCTGTGGTGCATAGAAACTGAATGCTGCTTCTCCTCGTTTGGTTCTGGTTCTGGGGATGCAGAGCAGACCAGAACCAGAAGATCTGAGGGGCCTAGACGGTTGGTACGGCAATAACAGATCTTTAATGTATTGTGGTGCTAAACCGTTCAGTGATTTATAAACTAACAACAGTATTTATTCTTTGAGCTACAGGGAGCCAGTGTAGGGACTTTAGAACTGGTGTTATGTGCTCTATCTTCCTGGTTCTAGTGAGAACGCGAGCAGCAGCGTTCTGGATCAGCTGCAGCTGTTTGATTGATTTATTAGTCAGATTTGTGAAGACGCTGTTGCAGTAATCAATGCGGCTAAAGATAAACGCATGGATGAGTTTCTCTAGATCGCGCTGAGACATCAGTCCTCTAATCCTGGAAATGTCCTTCAGGTGATAGAAGGCCGACTTTGTGACTGTCTTAATGTGGCTCTGAAGGTTCAGGTCAGAGTCCATCACTACTCCCAGGTTTCGGGCCTGATCGCTGGTTTTTAGTTGTAATAACTGAAGCTGTGCATTAACTCTAGTTCGCTCCTCTTTAGGTCCAAAGATAATAACTTCAGTTTTGTTTCTGTTCAGCTGGAAAGTTTTGGCACATCCACACATTTATCTGTTCTAAGCATCTATTCAGTGATTGGATGGGTTCAGAGTCACCCGGTGACACCGTGATGTAAAGCTGTGTGTCATCCGCGTAGTTATGGTAGCTAATCTTATTCCCTGTTATAACCTGAGCCAGTGGGAGCATATAAATATTGAAAAGGGGTCCTAGGATTGAACCTTGGGGTACCCCACATGTGACCTTTGACCTCTCTGATGACAAGTTTCCGACTGAAACAAAGACATCCCTGTTCTTTATGTAAGATTCAAACCAGTGGAGCACTGGACCGGAGAGTCCGACCCAACTCTCCAGTCGATTTAGTAAAATGTCGTGATCAACAGTGTCGAATGCTGCACTGAGGTCCAACAGAACCAGCACTGTGGTTCTCCCACAGTCTGTATTTATATGGATGTCATTGAATACTTTTACAAGGGCCGTCTCCGTGCTGTGGTGAGACCGGAAACCAGACTGGAAGGAGCCAAAGCGGTTGGTTATTGTTAGGAAGCTATTTAATTGTTTAAAAACTGCTTTTTCAATAATTTTCCTGATGATTAGGAGGTTGGAGATCGGCCTGTAATTCTGCAGTAGTGATTTGTCTAGATTGTTCGTTTTTATCAGTGGTTTGATAACTGCTGTTTTCAAAGCCTGGGGGAAAACACCTGATGAGAGCGATGAGTTCACTATTTGGATCAGATCATTAGCAACGATAGGCAGGACTTTCTTAAAGAAATGTCTGAGTAGTTCCAGACATTTGCTGTCAAGTTCCAGACCGCAGGAGGTCCGGTACAAATCTGTTGAAGCATTGATTGTATTCATCCATGAATTTCACGTTGGTCAAGAGGGTCAGTATACTTTCTTTTTGTTGGTCTTGAAGTCATGGTTAACCTATGCTTTGCACTGCGCTTGCCTACCAAAATGGCAGTTTAGTGGCGCAGATCCCTCCCGGTTCAGACTTGTGCGAACTACTGTATGTCTGAACTGTATGTCTAAAGGAATTTTACATCTAAAACCAGCCCGTCACAATTCTATAAAACCACCACAACTTTCTGTTAAGAATTAAACATGGCACCAGGAGATTCATTTGATTCACAACCCTTCTGAATTCTCTTTTGGACCCTCTCAGGTCTTTGAGAACCAGGTCAACAACAATAACAGCAGCAGCCATGAGCGACTGGTCTTCCAGGTCCCCCATGGACATAAACCAGGGACTTTCCCCACCTCCCTCGCCCACAAACACATCCTCTCCCCAATCATCGACAGCAACTCTGTCAACTGGCGGACTGGCAGTTTCCATGGCTACCGGGCGCGGCACGGGAGCAGACGGGGCGGATCGTCTCTAGCTGGTGGAGACCAAAGTCCAGCGTCTTCCTCGACATCCTCGGGACGTACCGGCACGCTGGATCATCGGCTCAGTGTCTATGACAACGTGCCCCATGACGTACAGCTGTCTGAGGGGGAAGGTGGTGGAAGCGGAAGTGATGCGGAAAGAATCAGTGAGGAATCAGAGGTGGGTCTCTGAGTTTCAAAAAGTTGAAATTTAACAAATAATTGTGGATAACTTAGACATTTTGAAGGATTTTGTCAGCCATGATGGAACAGCCATGATGGAACAGCCATGATGGAATAGTCTAAACGCGTTTTGAGCATTTCGCAGATCTGGTTTACATTCAAAAGCATATGTGGAGGCGGGTCAAGGGCCATGGAGGCGCATTTTGAGTATCTAGCGCAGAGTGATTTGAACCGTTTGGAGTGTTTTGAGCATTCAACGGAAAGCGACGACTAGAGCTGACCCATTTGATGCGCCCTCGACGTGCCTCCACATAGGCTTTGAATGTAAACTGGATGTGTGAAACGCTAGGTCTAGAGCAAAATGTCAAGCATCTACATTCAAAGTGCACATGTATTGAACTTGAAGCATTTTTGAGGCATGTAATGCATTTGGCGTGAAAGCACCATTAGAACAAAAAAGCTGCAGAGTCAGGAAAGAACTAGAGACTCTTAAATTCCAGAATCATTGGTTGCTATGGTTATTCCAGCCTTTTCTTGAGGGCAGAGGCAGGGAACGCACAAAACAAGTATGATTTTTGCATGTTTTCCTTGTTAAATGAACGGAAACCAGTTTGCTTTTTCTTTTGGAGTTCATTGAAGAAAAATGAAAATATATTATATCTGTTCTCAGCAATAAAAACAGGGTCGAGGTCAGTCTTCATTTGAAAACACTTGCAGTGCTTAGTCAAGTTTTAATACAGAACTTAAAAGCGGATTGGGTGCACATAAGTAGATATTAATTTAAAAGTTGCAATTTATTTAATTTATTCTTGAATTGTGATATGGGACACAGGCGCACAAAATCAGTCCAGGGGCCACAATGGGCCCTGAACTGGTTGTGTTAAACGAGTTTACTTTTGAGCAACAAATTCAACAAGAAGCAGCAGATTTGAGTGATTTTCTTGGAAAAAATAAAGTATTATTTAAAAAAAAAAGACTTTACTAGATTATTTCCCCTTTCCCATTTCTAATAACAAGGACTTTTAGTTTAGGTGAGTTATTTTTGTATAAACACATGATATTTTACCTTCTTTGGACCATAAATGGCATACCAACAAACTAATTACCCAGACGAATCTCTTAGATCTTTGTCATAAACTTTAATAGCTGAGCTTCCTTCTCAATTGGAGATCTGGGGTAAATTTTTGGTGCAGCTGAGATCAGCTCTCCATCCGGATCTGGAACGAATGAAGTGAAGCAAGAAGATACTTTTCCACCCCTTGGCTCTTGTGGTGTGTTTTTAAAGAAACCCCTTAAATGAAACTCTACACTAACTGCAGTAATTCAATTATGGATATTGACTCAGCTAAATTTGACACCTTATGGAGATGGGAGCTTTTTTTCTTGTCAACTTTCATCAATCTCTTCAAATGGGTTTCTGAATTATGAAAAAGGCCGCTTGGAAGGATGCTTGATAAAAATTTGGCAGCAGTGGGAGGAGAGAGTGGTTATGAAATATTACTGAGGTTATCAGGATATTCCTTTTATTTCCCCCAAGCACATTGACGGGAAATAATTCAAACCTGCTTTCTCACAGGTGAGTCCGCTGCTGGCAGGTGAAGATGTTTTCTCTGCTCTTGATGGTGTTCTGGAGCGAATCAGTGACCTCCAACAGCTTGTCGTCTCCTGGTCGGAAAACATCTCGGAGGACGATTGTCAGAGAGGTTCTTCCTCTTCCTCACATGACTCACCAGCCCACGGATCCCCCTGCCCCACCTCCCCCAACCACATCCACCTGGAGGTGCAGCTTCCAGAGGAGGAGGAAGGAGAGGAAGAGGACTGCTATGAGAAAGTAACTGATGTGTCAGAGATGAGTGGATCACCACAATCCAAGAGAAGGTGAGTTTAATCTGAAAAGATCCATCTGGATTTACTGAAAAATCACATCCAGGTTACTTTAGTATCTATAGAATCATAATTATTCTGTTTTTTCAAATAATTGTCAACTCATTTAGTAATCGATTAATCATTAACTGGAGTATACAGACTCTTAAAAAAAACGTATTTCCTTCATTAATTTTTCAATTAATTCTTCAATAATTGAAGAATTAATTAGATTCTTCAAATCTCATTAATTTACATTTGAAGAAGAAGTCAATGCAGCAATGAAGCCAAAATTGTGGCTAAATGCATCCTGTCAGTCCTGGTTCTTTCCCTTCTTTGTTGATTGACTTCCAGTTGATTGACTTCACACTCAGGTTCTCTGTTTTTATTCTAACAAGAGAGAAAATCAAGTTGCTGGTTAACATCAGTTCAGCTTCTGGCCCTTTGCATTAAATAAAAGACAATAAATTAACCCAAACAAACTGCAGAGCTCTGGTTCCTAATGAACAGTAAGGCACCAAAAAACCTACAAAACTGTCTCAGTCTTGAGAAACATACTTTAGTTTTTATTTGAAGTTTTAAGAAATCTTGCTGTTTTTATTAATACTTATATATTAATAAAATAAAATGTAAATAAAATAAACTTAACAACTACTATTATAGACATGAAAGTTTGTCAAAAATATTTACTCTTGAAATTCATTTGGTTTAGTCAAAAACTTATTTTCTCATGACTTTCACTGTTGCGATATAAGTTATATTATGCTGGTCTTGATGGTTGATGATTTAGCAACCAATAACTGACAGCTCCTCCCCTTTTTTTCTGTTGCCGTCTGTAACTGTGGTCTCAGCTTGGTGGTTTCTTTATCGGGATTATATTTTAACATATTTTAGACAAATATATATATATATATATATATATATATATATATATATATATATATATAGGCTTGGTAGAGGACCCGAGCTCAGAGGATGAGAGACCACCCGCGGAGGGTGAGAAGGGAATTTTTTTTTTTTTATATATATATATCCATGTGCAATCTTGACATGTTTACATGTTTGGTACATGTTTTTTTTACATTAATTCCGTAATTAATGTTGTGCATTTCAGTTGTGTTTAGTTTTACAACTGTTAATTCAAATTCAAAAATACTTTATTAATCCCAAAAGAAAATTAAATGTTGTAACTCATTTATTTTGATTCTTCAGAGAATTATTGAATTTGATGGCTGTTGGCAGGAAAGATCTCCTGCAGCCGTCTGAATCTGAAGAAGCCTGAACTGTTCCTAACTGGTCTGAGGGCCATGCTGTGTGTCCCACAGGGTGAGCCGGTCCAGGCAGCAGAACCGGGCCTACCTGACCTCCAGTCCGGGTCTGGAGATCCGGTCCGCATCCCAGATCCTCCGGCTCCAGAAGCTGTCTCTGCTCAAACTCACCGCACTGATGGACAAATATTCTCCGTCCAGCAAGCAGGGATGGAGCTGGTAAGGCCAGATAAGGCAGGGTGGGGGATTTCATGCATAGAAAAACAAATGGGTGAGGGGGTGGAGTTGGCAGGTTGGTGTTTGAGACCCACGGCTGTGTGGAGAAACTTCTTCAAGCAAACAACTGTGTGAAGGAGGGCAGGTGGGCGGGTGGAGGGTAAATATTTCAGGCAGACAGTCATTCATTATTCATAACTCAGGTGCCGGGGTTGGAAAAAAAAAAAAACAGAACATCAAGAAGAAGAAGAAACTGCTTTCCATGTGCCTGAGCTGGAGCTGTTCTGATTCATGAAATTTTGCATGTGGCAGCTGTGAGAAATGTTTTGTTTCACACCTGGCAGGTGGAGGGGGCAGCTGATTGAAATTCTGAGACGAGTGTAACTCAGGGGAGAGAAAAATATCGACAAGAGTCAAACAAATAACAAAGACTTCAAAGAGGAACACAACCAGAACAGGAACCAGTTTTAATGTTGAAGAACAAACTTGGAGATGTCAGTTTATCCAACGTTACACATTTAGCTGAAGTTAAAGGGGCATTATTATGTAAACACATAATAATGGTAACATAATTATCAAGTAACATCAAGACAATTATCTTGACATAATTACTTGATAATTATTACATAATTATCAAGTAATTATGTTACCATCAGTTGTTTTACAAATGCTGTATATGTAAAATATTACTTAAAATAAATTTACTTCCTGATGTAATATCTTGAAATGGGACCTTTGTCTTTCTTTGTGAAACTTCACCTTCAGGAAGTCATCATTAAGCCTTTAACAATGTTTTTACAAGCATTTCACTGTGAAGTAGTTCCTACAATGAGCTCAGCAGATGTGCTGTTCCACTGGTTGTTTGCTAATTACTACTGGCTAGTCTGAAGGAGCAGGGGAGGGCTGTTCTGTGAAGCTTGGGAACTGAAGCTCCGAAAAAAGGTGCTGCGTCTTGAAGGGGGGCTAGAGAAGGATTGATCCTCCCAGGAGTTTTGCCCATCTGAATGGTTGCCATGAAGATTAAAGGATTTCTCAAACATGCATGAAATAATCAATGCAACCATTGATCCCTTTTTGATGAGGGAATAACATTATATCATGATGTAACACTCAAAAATAGTCAATTTTACTTAATACTTCCCCTTTAAAGCATGTCAGCTATTTTTATTTATTTATTTATTTATTTATTTGTGGCTCCCAACTGCAGTTTGAGACTTTGTCCTGTCCAACACAGGTAGCTGATTCAGATGGGCTTTCTATGTAAGTAGGGTAAAATTATTATTTGTATAATTTTCTCACAATGGAAAAAGTTAAGTACAACACAAAGTATTTGTTTTTTTATAACCAAGCATTTATAATAAGTCTATCCATAGACTTTTACTGACTCCTAAAATTTCCCTTTTAAAAGGAAATTTAGCTGCTTTTTATAAACACATTATTGGGCCAATAATCTTTCAAACTAGGAATGGTCAATTATCTTACTGTTCACTATTGTAAGTTTTGTTTTTATTGTCATAACTCTGCCTGCTTGGTTTAGCAGCAATAGGAATAGTTGTTGCTTTTCTGTTTTAAATAAATGCCTTTAAATATTATGAAATATTTGAGAATTGATGCTACAGAAAGCCACTGGAAATGTTACAGAAGATGTTAAAGTCTCAACGTTGTGTGTCTATGGAGAACTGAAGCCACTGATGTTCAGCTGTGTAGCATTCGCACATTAGTATGTGGATGCTGCTGTTGTATGAAACAGCAGTACTGAATTACTCTCTGCCCAGCGATGCTCTGTATTTTACCGTTATGTTGTCAGAGTGAGATGTGGGTGATGTTTTGAGCGGCAGCTGCCGTCCGTCAGTCAGTCTTGTTTTGACAGTACCTGCACCAATGTTGGAGAAGTAAAAACTTTACTCAACTTTCCACAGTGGGTGCCACTCACAAATCCATGCAAAAGACCCTCATCCTGGTGCGGCGCTACACGGCATGCGGCTCAAAGTGAAATGAAAAGCAGGACAGTTGAAGCCTGACAGCCTTTGTGTTGCTCTTTACCTCCAACTGCTGCTGCTTTCACTCCACAACTTTATGGTTTCTTTATTTTTTACCATCTCATTGTTTCACATTTGCAGTCCAGACCTTTCTCACGTTAAAGTCTAGAAACCTAACCTGAGTTTTGTGTCCCGACGTGTTACTTTTGGAGTTCTTTAGCCTACTTCATGCTGTCAGGCATGTTATGTTTAAGGGATTTCTTGGCTGTACAGATCCTTCAGGAATCGGTCTAGAAGTGGTGAGTGAAACTGAACTTCCTCCACAAAGGTGTTAAATCACAGTTTGAGTCATGATTTTTGCACATTGTTCCAGGTTGATTTTGATCTTTTTTTCCCTCTTTGTAAAACCATAAAACCATAATTAGAAAACAGCTTTCTGTATTTAAAATTGTACATTTAAGTGTGTCAAAAAGGCAAAAAGTAATATTTTGTGGCACTGTATGTCAAGTCGGGAGTCTTTCCTATAATCATGTAGGCCACAACTTAAAATTTTAATTTATTTTTTGCAGTATTCTCATTTACTGATTAACTTTATTTTGGGTTTTCCTCAGCTTTTATTCATAAAAATAAACAGAAATGAACAAATTATGTACATATGATGAAAGCAAAGTGGCTAAGTGATACAGGATGAAACATTACGGAGAGAAATTTAGGTTTATTTTAATAAAAAGCTTCCAGAGCTCACATCACTTCTCTTCCCTGTTTATTCTGCACTAAAGTGACAATTTGTGGATTTAATGAAATTTGTGTTTTGCCTCCTACACAATAAAGACAAATTCATTCTTATTAATATTAAATAAACATCCAGAAACTCTACATGTTTGCTTTGCAGAACACTTGTGTAAAAATAACAACCTGCTTGCTTTATGCTTTAGAAGAAAACCAATTAGATTTTTTGCACACAGTGTTATGCTCAATGAGATAAAGCTCAATATGGGAAAGAGCATTTAAACAGAAACTCTCCTGAAATTACTCTTCATAGATATTCGTCTTTAATTTTCAGGATCAGACGTGTGTTTGGAAGGAGATTGAGGAAAAAGGCAGGAAAATAAAAATGATTTGGCTCCTTTACATCACTTCTGTTTTATATTGTTGACTTTGTTGGACAATGAGGCTTTTAGAAAAATCATGTCCTCTAAAGAAGACATTAAGGAACAATTTATTGAGCAAAACAACAGGTTTTAACAGGTACAACAAAGTAAAACCTATTTTTTCTCACATAAAATTTGAACACTATATTCCTGTGTCTCAAAATAGATTACATGAAAATGTTCCAATATCTCCATTTTTAGAGAATCCAAAATTCTGATTAAAAAAAAATCATTACATGTAGCAAAAGAATTCTCTTAATAAATGAACCAGCCAATAAGTCTAAATTTAAATATGAATTATGTGTGGAAAAAAACATAGAGGATTTTTATGAAATTAAATTATTTTTAATTTTATTTTTAATCTGGATTTTTTTGTAAATATGTGGATTATAATGCTTTTTAGTAGACATTGGCCTAGCTTAGTTAGCATGGGGATTGGAGGTTGGAAATTGCAGGTAAGCTATCTAAAAAATGTAAAAATTACAGCTATTATAGTTCCTACATATTTACGCTGAGACTTAAAAAATGGGATAGAAGACAAATTTAGGCTATTAGAATATGATGCTTTAATAAGTTTTAGCCAAGATAAGCTAATTTCTTGCTAGTTAGCATGGTATGTTAAACTTAAAGTCTTGGCAGTTTAATGGCAAAATATTTATTTATTTTGAGAAATAAACTCTATGACCACATTCAAACCCCTGCTGCTGTTTACATAAGCTGAGCACAAACTGAAAACAGACAAAGCTAGATTTTGTTCATGTTTTACAACTTTCCACCTGGATAAGTTTCAAAGAAAATGTTAGCATTTTGAATCTTTTGAAGAAAAAAAAAGTAACTAAACAGTTTCCCATTGTCAGTTTAATGTAATCCATTCTATCCACCATATACAGGTGCTGGTCATAAAATTAGAATATTGTGATAAAGTT